TAAATAAATAATGTTTTGTTAAAATGACTTTATGTGGCAACACAGCAGAAAATGGTTGCTGAATGCAGAAAGGCGATGCATGTTTAAATGCATACTGTTGCCAGAGGATGTATATTTCTGTTACAGAATAAACAACGCAGAACGCAGTTCTCTGTGTCCGCCTGAGTGATTTGCGTCTTCAGGAAGAGAAGCGTTACACGAACATTCTTCTAAGTATCTTTTTTGTACTCAACGGATGAATGCATATAAACTTCCATTTTTGAGGTCCTTTAATGGTGACTTTAACATTTATTTATTTTTACTTTTTAACTTAAAATTACATTAGCCTAAGAATTGTGGATAGTGATTGTAAAAGATATATTTGATACAGTATGGATACATTTTCTCTTAGGCAAACTAAGGATAGATTTGATAAGAATTGGTCAAAATGGTTATTGCATTCAGTTAAAATCAAAATTATTCACCCTCCTGTGAACGGTTTATTTTTCAAGTATTTCCCAAATGATGTTTAACTGGACACCGATTTTTTCACAGTATTTCCTATAATATTTTTTCTTCTGGAGAAAGTCTTTCTTTTTATTTAGGCTAGAATAAAATCAGATTTTAATAATAATAAAAAAACATTAAGGTTAATATTATTAGAACCTGTCAGCTTTAATTGTGGGGAAAACTGATTAATTTTGAGCTTTTGTCAGCTAATTTCATCTTCCGGGTTTAAAATGATTTTTGTGACGGGATCAAAATCGGTGACGGAGTGCAAAACTGCAAATGCAAAGATGACGGGTCGGTTTCTCTTTGTTATTCATAGCAAACGTTTTCTTATCCTATGACCCTTCTTCTCAATTATTCATGACTGCACATGCTTTCCGAAAGCAAGGCAGACCTGCCAGTGCCAAGCTGTGAGACACGTTAATGACTGGGTGAGGCCGCATCCACGGACCCACGGCACACAGTATTTAGCCGTTCATGAAGGGTCGTATATGTTTGTTTCCATGATCCACGGGGTTTGTTCCATGTTTTTCCCCACGATCCTCTTAGGGCTGACACAGCAAAGCTGTTTGTGTGCAGCAAGCATTTTTGTCGGGAGAGCTGTACGAGTATTGTGGAGAATGGTGGACTTTGTCCTTTATCAGTGGAGTTCGTTCACATTTAGACACATCGCCGTGCTGCTGTGTTCACCTAAATCCTCCAGATTACCAGCAGGGCTAATGGTTGAAATAGGCAGGACAAGAGACCTGCTGCACTGAGTCTGCATTCAGACACGGGGATTGAGGGAGAAGTCCCCATTTATAGTTTTTATATGAACAGGATTATCTTTATAATGATATAAATTAAGGTTGTGTTTATATGAAATTACAAATGACAAATGTAGCAGGGCATTAAATTACTGTTTATTTGTTTGCAATTTAACTTTGTAAACTATAAAATCATGGGTCTCCTCATGGTTTGTGTCTCATTTTGTGAGCTAACTGACAACAGTTGTTCGCTCCCCTCATTCTCCCCTGCTCTGCTGGCCACGCCCACTCCTGCCTCTGAATGCGGAGCTCGACGCCCATTATGATGCATTTTTGAAAAGATTCTGAGGTAGACTTTAAGCAACATTTTTTTTAATGATCTACAGTTCAAACCTCTAATATACAATGATTTGCCTGATTATCTTATAACTAACTTGGTTAAGCCTTCAAATTGCACTTTAAGTTGAATACTAGTATTTTGAAAAATACCTAGTAAAATATTATGTACTGTCATCATGGCAAAGATAAAAGAAATCAGTTATTAGAAATTAGTAATTAAAACTATATTGTTAATAAAAATGTGTTTAAAAAACCTACTTTCATTAAACATAAATTGGGGAAAAAAAATATACAGGGGGGTTATAATTCATCATAATAGACTTCATCTGTACATTAAAATGGATAGTGTATAAGTAACTATAATGCCATATAACTATACATAAAGCCATGTAAATATAATAAATACAACTCAATGCTATGATGGAAAGTAATAAAAGTTGACACTGCCACTAGGATGTTTTAAAGAAATCAAGTGAATTGCATGCACAGGCACAATAGTTTGTAGCACACACCTAAGATGTGACTTCAGCACATTAAAAATGCCGAGCTCCAGCTCCTACAGCAAAATCATTCATCATCTTTTTAGATGAGTCACTGCAAAGTTCAATGCAAACTCTGCTGTGCGCCCGTTTCCACCCGTTGCACTGCCTCCTACAGAGCTAACAATAGGCACAAGCCATCTGTGCGGCTCCTGACATGAGCGTTCGCAAGATCAGATAGTTTGCACAGTCTTTCGGTGACAAAGTGTATCATAGGCTGCGACAGTAAATCTCCATGGTGTCACATGAATTCTTTCCTCCATGCCAGACTATCTGTGAGGATCTAACGGCCATGTTTTTTTTTTTTTTTGATTCTTTTTCTTCTGCTTAAGAGATGCGGTTGAAGTCAAAATTATTTGCCCTTCTGTGAATTTTTTGTTTTTTTTTTGAAAAATTTCCCAAATGATTATTAACATAGTGAGGAATTTTTCACAGTATTTCCTATAATATTTTTTCTTTTGGATAAAGAGCTTTTTTTTTTTTTTTTTTTTTTAAAAACATTAGGATAATTATTTTTTTTCACCCTTAAGTAATATATATATATATATATATATATATATATATATATATATATATATATATATATATATATATATATATATATATATTTATTTATTTATTTATTTTTATTTTTTTTAATTGTCTACAGCTGTGGTGCCTAAAGTAGGGGTCATGGGGCAATGAGGCAGGGGGTGGATGGAATTCACTTGTTGATTTCCAAAAATCGAATTCTTTTTATTTTTTTTAACCATTAGATTTCCCGGTGTTGGATTGTGGCTGGAAGGGCCGGATATGTGAAAATGTGCCGGATAAGTTGGCGGTTCATTCCACTGTGGCAACCCCAGATTAATAAAGAGAATAAGCCAAAAATAAAATAATTGAATGAATGAATAAACCATTAGAATTACTATATTTTATCCATAACCTACAGGAGACAAAATTTAATAGTTACAAAAAAAAAAAAAAACAACAACATGCAAATAAAAAGCCATCAGCCTTTAATTTACTTTTATTGGATTGCAACCCCTGCGTTGTTTAAAGTCAAATGCAGCAGATTGATTTTATGGCACCAGGTTAAACCTTCTGACACCTTTAGGACACTCAGATACATTACAAAGACCATGACTTAATATGTAGGAAGGCCTCAGAGTGACTTTCTCCAAAATTAAATGAAGAATAGACTTGGGCCTATTTGTGTGTGTGTTGTTGCATACAAGGGTTGTATATTTGTAACCACATCAGAAGATATTGGGGGTCACAAGTCACTAGCATTGTTACTTTGGGGGTCGCTGGCTGATAAGTTTGGGAACCCCTTATCAATAGAACAAACCACTGTTAGACTTGCCTAATTATACTAACTTGTCTAATTAACCCAATTAAGCCTTTAAATGTCACTTTAAGCTGAATACTAGTATCTTGAATAACATCTAGTCAAATATTATGTACTGTCATCATGGCAAAGATAGAAGAAATCAGTTATTAGTAATGAGTTATTAAAATAATGAAGGAGTGGCTCCACAACATCTCCTGACTGTTTTTGAATGGCCCAGCCAGAGCCCTGACTAAAACCCAATTGAGCTTTTCTGGAGAGACCTAAAAATGGCTGTCCACCAATGTTTACCATCCAATCTGACAGAACTAGAGAGGACCTGCAAGGAGGAATGGCAGAGGATCCCCAAAAAGACTCATGGCTGTATTGGATCAAAGGGATGCTTCTACTAAATACTGAGCAAAAGATGTACTGTAAATACTTTGGACCATGTGGTATTTCAGTGTTTGTTTTTTGCCAACAATTCTGAGTTTTACAGTAAATATGTGTACAATAATGAGAAAAAAAAATACTTAAATGATTTTAGCTCTTGTGCTTTTGCTAAATACTAAGCAAAGGGTCTGAATACTTAGGGCCATGTGATATTTCAGTTCTTCTTTTTTAATGAATTTGCAAAAATGTCAACAATTCTGAATTTTTCTTGCAATATGGGGTGCTGTGTGTACAATAATGAGGAAAATAAATGAACTCAAATGAGTTTAGCAAATGGCTGCAACATAAAACAAAGAGTGATAAATGTAAAGGGGTCTCAAAACTTTTTTGCAAGGGCGCATTGGCATGGATGGAGGGGACGTGTCCCCCCTAATATCTACCAATTACTGAAATGTCCCTACCAATAATTTAATCGATTTCAAAATAAAATAATGCTCCGTCAACCCTTAGTAACCTACTTGTGCACAAAGGGTTAAAGTCAAGTTTGCTATGAGTTCACTATAATTCTATTAACCAAGGCTGTGCAAGGATTCGAAAAAGCAATGATCAGGATATAACAGTTCAATTTGCGTCACACACCTCTCTACATTCATACATTCTCAAAGCCAGATTGCAGGAAAATAATGTAAATTGACTTTTGCAGCATGGAACGTGATTCATAAATTGTTATTTGTATCATTAAGAGTTTGTTTTTTAAGTATTTTATTAATGTTTTTACAAACGCAAAAACAATTTATGCACTCTAGCAATGCATGTCCCCACTAATGTCAAGAGCGACATATACGCCCTTGACTTTCTGTACCCATTGTACACACTATTTGTTCTCCCTCAATAGCTTCCAAAGCTTCTTGAGTTTCTTTATACTGTTGAACTCAAATGATGATATACTGAAGAAAGTCAGAAAAACTAATACTTTGGATACTATTTTCAGTGGAGCTTCTTTCGTGTTCAACAGAAGAAAGAAACTCAGGAACAAGTGAAGAGTGAGAGTAAATGATTTTCAGCTTTGCATGAACTATCCCTGTAATGAAGTTCCATTCAGAGTTATGACTAACAGTGGTGCACCGCTGATTTTAATATGTCTCTGTGTGTGTTTCGGCTCTCGAATGCATGAATGGTAATTACCTTATCAGGGAAAGGCTGCTGTAACTGGCCGACCTCCAGCGGAGTGATGAGGGGGATGTTATCAAAACCGTCCTCCACCGATGCCTCTCTCTCCACCTTTTCCGCCAGGTTACTGCCTAGTTTCACCATATCTGATAAAACAAACAAACAAACATATACAGCTGAAGTTACAATTATTTGCCCTTCTGTGAATTTGTTGTTCTTTTTATAAATATTTTCCAAATGATGTTTAACAGAGCAAGCCAATTTTCACAGTATTACCTACAATATTTTTTCTTCTGGAGGAAGTCTTATTTGTTTTATTTCAGCTAGAATCACTGCCGGGTGCGCATAAAATAAATAAATAAATAAATAAAAAATCACCTTGCGATATTGATGCTGAAACGATATATTGCGCAGCCCTGATGTTATTGTTTCATTATATAATGGCTTCAAATAGTTGACCTGGTATTCATACGTAGTTATTAAACTTATTGCATTATTTCTTCCCACCACAGCATCTAGCAATATCTGTATGATATAACTGTATCTGTTGCTGCTTGTTGTTTTCCATTTAGCACTAATAGTTAGTCAGTACATCTCTCTCCATTAAGTCTGTCTCTGATGGGTCTCTGTGATGTTGTTCAGTTCCTGTGATTCTCTCTCCATATCATTATGACTCACTTGCGCGCACACACGCACACACACACACACACACACACACACACACACACACACACACACACACACACACACACACACACACACACACACACACACACACACACACACACACACACACACACACACACACACACGTCTTACTCATTAGTTGACTGACGAAAACATCTGATAGGTTAACGCTCTCACTCATTATCCTCCTCCAATCTAATAGGCTATTAAAGAGCTCTCTCTCTCTCTCTCTCTATCTACAGAATACAAAGCACAAAAACACAACAATTACAAGTGACAGACGGAAATGTCGGCCCATTTTAAGCCATTTTGAGACTGTCCTTTTGTGCCAGTATTACGTAAGTTTTGATCAATATACACCATACATACATAGTTTTTAATTAGTGGATTTTATAAAAAAAAAAATAATAAATATGCTGTACGTGTGTGTGTGTGTGTGTGTGTGTGTGTGTGTATATATATATATATATATATATATATATATATATATATATATATATATATATATATATATATATATATATATGAGAGTAATATATATATGAGAGAAATATATATATATATATATATATATATATATATATATATATATATATATATATATATATATATATATATATATATATATTAACTTGAAATCAGAATTATTAACAGAATTATTATTTGGACCATGTGATTCCTTTTATCTTTGCCATGAAGTCAGTAAATAATACTTGCTAGATATTTTTCAAGACATTTCTATACAGCTTAAAGTGACATTTAAAGGCTTAACTAGGTTAATTAGGTTAACTATGCAGTTTAGGGTAATTAGGCAAGTTGTTGTATAACGATGGTTTGTTCTGTAGACTCAAAAAATATAGCTTAAAGAGGTTAAAAATATTGACCTTAAAATGTTTTTAAAAAAATTAAAACTGCTTTTATTCTAGCCTAAATAACACAAATAAGACTTTCTCCAGCAGAAAAAAATATTATCAGACACACTGTGAAAAATTCCTTGCTCTGTTAAACATCATTTAGAAAATATTTTAAATAAGAAAGAGAAAAAAAAATCAAAGCGGGGCTGATAATTCTGACTTAGTGTGTGTGTGACAAATATCCCATTTTTAATCCCATTTTACATACTTTTGCTAAGTCTTTGAGCATCTGTGATGATGGTTTATGTGAAGAAAAAAAGGCAGAAGCCTAATTAAACAATTACACTCTTAAAAATATAAAGGTTCTTTATTGTTATATATGATTCCACAAAAACCTCCATTTGATTACGCAGGCAAAATGTTCATTATAGTGGAAAATAATCTCATCATGTTAATTAAATCTCATCATGTAATTAAAATTAACTGAACGCTGTTAATTTTTTTTGTTTATATACAGTATACACACACACACACACACACACACACACACACACAAACACACACACACACACACACACACACACACACACACACACACACACATATATATATATATATATATATATATATATTTATTTATTTTATTTTTTATTGTTTTAACTAAAATGCTCGTTGGGGAACCACTGGAACCCCCTTCAATGCACAGTTAATCCAAAAATGACATATCTGTCATCATTTATTCATCCTCCACTGGTTTTTAGACCTATTTGAGTTATTTTCTGGATATTAATTTCCAGGATTTGTGTGGATTTTTAAAATGTTTTTATTTATCCAAGTGGTTGGATCAGCCCATATATTGTAGCCCAAGAAGTTTTTTTTGTGTGATATTTACATGTTTCATTATTGCATAAATACATGTTACAACTCAGTCATGCTGAACCGTACTTATAAACAAAAACAAAGTAATAAGTAGATAGTATTATAAAAAAATTGTATTAAAATATTCTTGCTTGGAAAAGGATGAAAAAGGATGACTTGTAGGATTGTGGCGAAAGTGTAAATATTTAAAACGACCATTAATTAGAGGATCACTCTGAAATTTTAAGATTTTATTTTCTAGATTTACAATTTAAAGTCATGTTTCCGAGTAAAACATATTTGTTTCTGTTATGATAAGTTCAATTACATTTGTATTCAATCTAAAAAATGTCATTTAAGAGCATATTAACAAGAAAGATGACATGTTTTCACATGCCATATATATAATTTAGAAAACAACACTTTCAGAAGAACTGAATCAATATTTGGTTGAGCTAACCCTGTTTGTCATCATTTGTCAACATTTGTCATCTTATTAAAAAAAATCAGCAATAAAAAAATAAATACATATTCAAAAGGTCTTTATTTTTTCCCATAGCTGTTTCCTAATGGACAAGCACCTAATAAGCAGATAGACGTGCTAATTTTTTCCTTTATCTAAAAGGACCAAGTGATGTTACTACAATTGAAAGAAACTGACAATAAATAAATAAATACATTTTCAAGTAACCCACGCTTAAATTTTTTTCAATAGTTGTATTCATCATACAATCAAACTAAACATCGCAACTCTTACTAAGACTGAATATATAGTTTCAGCATTGATATCGCAATGTGATCATTCACCATACATTGCGAGTATACGCAGCGTTGAGTCTGGATTATAATTGATCATTCGCAAGTATTTTGAGGCCTGTGACTTTATTACGGATTTTAAAGCATTCAAGCATAAGAAATTATAGCATTTTGACAAATTAATTACTATTATTTTATTGAATTGTTTATAAAATGAAGACTATGCAGTATTATTTTACATTTGATTATTCAATTACTGTATGCTGAATATAATTAGACTGTTTAATTAATTTGCATATGTTTCTTCATTGAATTTATCTATGCTTGTAGATTGCTTATTATATTTTATGCACTACCCTAGAATCGTTCCAGTCAATCTAACATTATAAGTTTCCAATTAGTTTCAACTAGTGAAATTGTATTATTATTGTAATATTTAATCGCAGAATAATACAATATCGCAATGTTACATTTTTCCAATATCGTGTAGCCTTAATTCTTACATTGTTTTTCTTCGAACAATGGTTTTTAAGTTCAATCAACTTAAATTTGTAAAAATAAATTAAGTTAACTTAATGGATTTGTGCTGTGACAACATGAAGTGATATTGTGTAACCCAGCCTTTTACACAGTGTATTAGACATAATATACAAAAATAAAGGCGTACTTGTTTCATGTTAAAGCACCAAGTGATGTTATTTAGACAAAGCACTACAACTGAAAGAAACTGACAATCATTTGATGTGAAAGCCACAGCAGGCCACAGACCGGCGGATTCTGCTGGTTTTATCAAGGTTATCGAGATGGCCAATGTTCAGCACATCAGGATGTGTGAAGAAGAATCACAGATGATCCGCCTGCGGTGCCTCTCAACCCGCCTTCGACCACAGAGACACCGATACTGCCATATTCAAACCTCTAACAACCACAAAATCGATTATCAAAGGACAAACGTAATCACAAAACGCTATCACGTTAGCCTTTCAAAACGCGGCATTAAATACTGCGCCAATAGCTAATAATGAAGCATCACTACGCAGCAGCTGAGGCACTGTATAAAAAATAACGATGGACGCTCCTCTCTCTCGTAATGTTTGATAAAATAAATGTAATTTAGATAATGAAAACGCAATTAAAGGAATAAATGCTTTATCTAGACTTCACCGTTTCCCGGAGGTTTGTTTGGAAATGAGACAGGCGGCTAAGCTAGCTGACGTTTTTCGTCGGAAATAAATGTAAAAGAGATACTCACTGCTTTCCCTGCGGTCGTCTTGCTGATGCTGATGATGAAGAGCTGGTGTTATGGCGATGTGTGTGTGTGTGTGTGTGTTCTCGTCGCTTCAGTATGATGTCAGCTGAATCTCAGCGATAACTGGCTGATCAATGTGACAAATCCCATTTTACACACATTTGCTACGTCGTTGAGCATCTGTGATGATGATGATTTGTGTGAAGGAAATGGTAGAAGCCTAATTAAACAATTACACTGTTAAAAATAAAGGTTCTTTATTGTAATATGTAGCTCCACCAAGAACCTTTAACCTCCATTTAACTACACACGCAAAATGTTCATTAGGCTGTAGTGGGAAAGGATCTTATCATGTTAATAACATTTTTTTACACTATTTTTCTTGAAGTACGTTTGACTAAAAGGCTCTTTTGTGAACTAAAAGTGTTTTAATGGAATCATCGAACCATCTTAAAGGGACAGTTAAACTAAAATTAATTATCTCATCATTTAGCTGCTCATTTTGTTTGAAACCTCTCTGTGATTCCTTCCTCTATAGACAAATGACTCGGCTATATTTTGAAGAATGTTTGAAAGCAGTAGCATACTGACCTCCATGTGTTTTTCAGCCAGCTATTGGTTTCCTGCAGTACATTCTTTAATATCTTACTTTTTAGTTTGACAGAAGTTTAACAGTGAATTTAAATAAAAGTATTTCATGCAACAATTTCACCATTTTCTTTATTATGCGTTCTCTCTTATAATTACAGTGCTCAGCATAATTGAGCACACCCCATTTTGAAAACAAATATTTTTATCCATTTCTAAGTAATATGTGTGTATGTGTGTGTGTGTGTGTGTGTGTGTGTGTGTATGTATATATATATTGTGCATTTGAACAAAACAGATTTATTAAAAATATATATTTAATAAAATATCATTTTAATCACAGAAGATCTTAAGGAATTGAAAGACAGTACTATTAAATTTAAGCCAAATATTGCCAAAAAATTACAAACTACAAAATGTAAACAACATTTTATTTATTTTATTTGTACATTTATTTAATTTTAATTTATTTATTTCTCACAAATTTTGCTCTTTTAAATAATAAAAAAATAAAAATCCATTTCAAAGTAATATATGTTTTTGTGTGTGTGTGTGTGTGTGTTTGTTCACACACACACACACACACACACACACACACACACACACACACACACACACACACACACACACACACACACACACACACACACACACACGCAGACACTTCCCTATGGCATAAATTTGAGCTACTAATTTTTAAACTGTTGTTGTAACCTATTTTGTAAGATTAGCACTGGCTAATCCAACACAATTGCACGGCAATTGTACTAATCTAATGTATATGCACAAATATAATATTGTAAAGCATCCTATAAAATTATGAATTTAAATGAGAGATTTGTGAGGGGTGAACTTATGTATGCTGAGCACTGTGTTTTCCTTTTAAATATTAAACTTCATTTTGAAACCAATTTTATTAGGAAATAGATAGTAAATACACACTGAAATAAACATAGCATTTTAAAAGAAGTGTTTTCTTGTTGGAAATGCTCTAATATTTTTTATTTTTTAATTGAATTTGGTAAATTATTAAAGATAAACAAATTGTCACATGCATTGGGTTAGTATGGGGTTAAAAGCTATATAAAAATACACAAATGCAGTTTTTGGCATTGAATATATTGTAAGAATTGATTCTAAAACAAGAATAAATATTAGACTTAATGCACAGATTATTATTAGCATTTTCTCATTTTTTAAAATAACTTGGTAACACTTTATTTTGATGGTCCCTATTGCACATTTTGTTGACAAAAAGTTGCTCTGCAACTTCATGCCAATTATTCTCACTTGAGTATTAGTAGACTGTCTGCTTAATATCTGTTGATATGCTCAGACTTTTAACTGACTATATGAAACTTTGCACGTAAATGTCAACACACTAACCCTAACCCAAACAGTCTTATAATCTAATTAGTTATCTAATTAGTTGGCATGTAGATTCAATAGAACTTAAATTCAACAACATATCTTAAAGGGACTATCAAAATAAAGTGATCCCAATAACTTTTAAGATATTTGTTGGACAAATAAATATTTTAGAATTGAATTTCTAGAAAATTATTCTGCTTTGGGAAAAATAGAAGAAAATAGTAATTTAATCCTTATGAGAATATATGCTTTGAGTTCTTATTGTGCATATAATCATTTCCACATATGTATTTTTGGATCTTTCAGATGCTGCAATGTTTAATTTGGATTGAGAGTCTTTTGGTTTACATTTAATCATATTTCTGCAGGACTCGTGCTGTGGATTTGCCCTCGTAATGATTTTTTCATGTCAGCTCTCTCATCTAGACCTTCATGCCAGCCTACATTTCTTTTTTTCTAATCGTCAGTTGATGGAAACTACTATCAGAAGAGGAGTCAGTGTGAGTCTTGTTTAGATCTACACATTCATACATCAAATATAAACAGACTCATTGCTGGACTGTTTTGTGTATAAGTTCAAAAGGTAGTGTCTGTTTCATACTTTAGTGCCAAATAAATACAATTTTCAGTAGGAAAATAAAATTTTAGACTTCACTTTAGTTAGGTTGGAAGTTTTGTTTAAGCTAAATATAATGTCTGTCTTCCTGGATCGAAAAACAAAAAAACTCATGACCAAATCTTTCACAGACAAAAGCAATAAGCAACATTGCCACCTAGTGTTTTCTTTAGTGAATTGCGTGATTAATTTAACATTATTTAAAGATTTTCTTAATGTTCATTTATACATTTTCCTGAGCTTAAATCCTTTATTCATCAGGTGTTCGCCACAGCGAAATGAACCGCCAACTTATCCAGCATATGTTTTACGCAATGGATGCTCTTCCAGCTGCAACCCAGTCTTGGGAAAAAGACCTATACACACCCATACAATATGGCCAGTTTTGTTTATTCAGTCCATCAATACCGCATTTCTTCGGGGGAAACCGGAGCACCTAGAAGAAACCCACGCAAACATGGGGAGAACATGCAAACTCCACACAGAAACACCAACTGGCCAGTGCTCGAACCTGTGAGGCTATCGTGCTACCCATTGTGCCACCGTGTCACCCTAAATTAGAAAATAAATTAGAATTAATGTTAAACAAACCTTAATCACAATTAAAAAGCAAACACATAAATATAGTATAAACAGCAATGTAGCTAGATTAAATCATGAATAAAGCATATTAAATGCTTTTAAAGTAAAAAGTTTCCGCTTTAATGTTGCAAAAAACTTCAAAGTTCATGCATTCATTTTCTTTTCAGCTCAGTCCCTTTAATAATTTGGGGTCACCACAACGGAATGAACCGCCAACTTATCCAGCGTATGTTCTATGCAGTGGATGCCCTTCCAGCTGCAACCCATCTCTGGGAAACATCCACACACACTCATTCACAATGGACAATTTAGCCTGCCCAATTCACCTGTATCACATGTCTTTGTACTGTGGGGAAAACCGGATCACCCGCGCAAATGCAGGGAGAACATGCAAACTACCTACTGCACCCTCAAAATATGGGTGATAATTTTATTTAAGTAAACAATTATTCTGACTTGCAGCATATATGGACTTTAATAAATATAAATAAATATTCTAAAATAAATACAGTAAATTCATCATACAAATTATTATATTATGTTATATTATATTATATTATATTATATTATATTATATTATATTATATTATATTATATTATTAAAAGCTCACTAACAAATGGACTAAACACAATTGTTTAAAAGAAAGAAGGCAGAGAAAAAAAGTTTTTAAATGACAATAAATGTTTATTTTAAATAAGAAACAAAATTTCCCTGACAATTTATTCAGTATAAATTTATTCTAATTTATAACAGTATTGTATTGTAACATTGAAAGACATTTTATTTAGTCTATAAATCATGGCAAAAATGTATTATAATCCTAATTGTTTTTCTCAGAAGCAACTTAAATGAAACATATCCTAAATTAAATATTAGACAAAGGTTTAGATGTACTTGATTATAGGTGAAGAATCAATCGATGCTGAATTTGTACTGTAATTTTAGCTGTCCATATTCGTCTTTAAACAAAGTTTCATTTTTAGCAAACCAAGTCTGTACAAAAATCTATTTGATATATTTAGGTGTAAACTGTAACTTGGTCGCTAGATGGCAGTGTGGATTTTATTCTAAATTAAAACGAATATTTGTACTTTTTCTTCTAATTCATTCATTTTCTTTTCAGCTTAGTCCCTTTATTAATCTGGGGTTGCCACAGTGGAATGACCCGCCAGCTTAACCAGCATATGTTGTACGCAGCGGATGCCCTTCCAGCTGCAACCTATCTCTGGGAAACATTAATACACCCTCGTTCACACTCATACACTATACGGACAATTTAGCCTAATTTAGACCAGCCAAGGCTCAAAAAAGTGAATGTTTCATCTTGCTGTGAGGCGATAGCACCCCTTACTACATCACCCTTCTCCTCCAATATGAGTAATAATAACAAGTACAAGTAATAAAACACCCTTTATAACAAGTAACATAAAGTCAGATTGTACACAAAGTGAACAAGTCACGTGCCGATCAAACTGCCCATTCCCGATTTACCACAGGAAGTTAAGGATAATCCCAGGTCAGCCCTGAATAGCAGTCTTATTTACAGTAACTAGGGCTTTTAAATATAGGTAAGTCCTTAACCTTCCTGTTTTAATTCCACAAAAGTAAAACCAACATCGGGAAATGCTGGATTTAAATGCCAGAGGACTGATCGTTTTTTTAAGCTAAGCTAAAATTAGCATATTTATTGTATAGGGCTGAATAATAGGCTAAGTATGCGGCTATTTAAAAAGTGCAGATCAGATGCACATGAACATGATCCAATAAAATCATGTAACATCCTGTAGTTGTTTTCAAAACCACCAACAGCTGGGAAATGTTAAATTCTCTTAAGAGCTGTTTCATCAAACAATGTCCAGTTCATACTTTAGCTCATTTCCTTGGAAGAGACTCGATGACCATCTGCTGGATATTGACTCTTCTGTAAACCAGAATAGAGTTTAATAAGTCTCTATAG